GCCCTCCTCCCACCCGCAGCCCCCTTTTGGGCCCGAATCACCGTTTCTGGCTCTTTTCCTTCGTTAATTTTGCTGCTTTCACGCCTAGGACTGCTGGGGGAGTGCTGGAAAAGAGGAGTGGCGCCGGATTGACTGCGTGCACATCGGCGCTGAGAATCCCCAGCAAAAAAAAAGGGGGAAAGACAAAAATAACCCAACTTTGGGCACCCTTGGTTTTGCAGAAAGGATGGTGTTTTCCTAGTGGGAGCCGCCCCACGTTGCCAGGATCCATCCCGGCCCTTGCACGGAGCAACGTCCAGTTTGGGATCAGTGGCTCCCATTTGGAGCTGCCAGACTATCCGCACTGGAATATCCCGACCCTGAGTCCCATTCCATGGGAGAAGCTGCGCTCATYGCCTCAGCACAGAACCCAGACATGGAGAACTTCCACGGAATGGACACACAGGAGCCAGGACGTTTCGGGAAGCGGCTGCCTGGAAAAGCCTTCGGAGAAGCGCTCCGGAGCGTGGGCCGGGCTCTTCCACAGGCCTTGGCTACACCCAACGGCCGAAGGTTTGGGGACAGCCACAAAACACACGACAGCGTTGAGTGCTCTCCGAGAGCCAGGCCGCTCCGCTCCGGCACATTCCCATCGCTCGCTCCGGCCCGGAATGCTGCGGAGCAGCCCGGAATGCTCTGGAGCAGCCAGGAAAGCTGGAACGGGCAAATCCCTTCGCTCATGCTGGTGTTTGCCTGTGCTTGCGGGGCCGGAGGCAGCACAACCTGGCAGAGCTGCCCTCGATCCCAACGGAATTGCCACCTTCCRGGGCAGAAAAGCGGCCGGCAGGTGCCGGGGGGGCCCATCCTGGCCCTCTCCCTTGGGAATGGCCAAAGCGGCAGCTCCAGCTACACTCTGGCGCTCCTGGATCTTGGGATAATCCCAGCAAGGCCCAAGCGGGTTCCACGTCCATCAGTCCCCTGCGTCCACCTCTTCCTTCCCGAGATGCTTCCCAGAGGAAGCCAAGAGCTGCCTTGGGGGAAGAGGCTTTTCCAGGGCGCCCGCGCCCCTGTGGATGCAGCTGAGGCTGGCACCGTCTGGCTGAAGAGCAGCGTCCTTCCCTGGGAAGGATCCCTCGTCTGCCCGCTCCAGAGGCAGCTCCTTGCCCAGCTGGAATTAGGAGGCGGCAACCGCCGTCCATGGAGAGGAGAAGAGGCCGGAGCCGGAGCCGGAGCCGGAGCCGGAGCCGCGCGGATCCTCCCTGCGACAGACCGTGAGCAGAGGCTCGAGGCAGAAAAGAAGGAAAAACAAGGAAAAAGTCGGGATTATCACAGAAAAAAAGGGAGCAAATGGGAAGCAGAACCCCTCAAGCAGCAGCAACTCCACGGATGGTCCAAAATAGAGCAAAAATGGGAAAAGGGGAGTAAATCTCCTTTRTTCTTTATAAATTGGATCCGCGTCAGGCCCAAGATTCCAAACATCCCTGCTCTCTTCCCGTTTTTTTTCCGAGTGCCAAGTGCATGTGGCCCCCAGGTGACTTTGCAAATGCGCCGCTTTCCCCCCAAAACAACCTGCAGTTTGATCTCCTTCCCGCCGTCCCGCCGCATGGAAGCGGGTGCCGGGCGGCGGCTTCCCGGCGCTGCCGGCCGGGATGCGGCGGCTCCTCGTGCCGGGGGCGCCGGCTCCGAGCGCGGCCCCATTGGCTTGCGGTGACGTCAGGGCCTCCAGAGCGGAGCCATAAACGTCCCCGGGGCCCGGGAACAAGGGGGAAAAGCGGGAAAAGGCCCGGAAAGGCGACGAACGGTGACTTGGGAGCTGCAGCGAGGAGGGAATCCTGCCCGGAGCGGCCTTCAATCCGYGCACGGCTGCAGGAGGCGCCAGGCGGAGCCGTCGCAGCCGTTTGGATGCATTTTATTCTTTTTTTTCCCCAAAGGAAAAATAAAACCCRTTCTGGGTCTTTTTCCCAAGCGCAAAACACGGCCCTTCCCGGGTCTCCCGCACTCCCGTGCCGGCCGCTCCGCCCATCGGACAGACCCACGCGGAGACTCCACGGAGCGGCCTCTAGCTCTTGGAAAGCGCTAACAAGGAACCT